TTTTTTAAATTTGTGGTTTACTTTTACAATACTGTTGCCTTTACTTTGGTGATTATATGTCAACTGGTGTTTCCATAACACAATGAAGCATTTAACTGATTGCTTCATTGTGGAGCACAAATGGAAATAAGTAAAACAACTGATATACGGTATTTTATTTTACATAAGAAATTGACAAGCACTCATCAATCAACATAAAACATTTGTGCCATCAGTCTAGACTCCGGATGGCTCCTTAAAATAAATATTTTTAAGAGGAAATAATACAGACAGAACAGGCTCAAACCACACAGACAGACAAACGAATTATCCAAATGTTCAAAAGACGAATGGGTCCGAAAACTCCCAAAGTCAACCCCGACTCTCCAACATAAAGAGCTTGTATAAAACAGTTAACCGTTTTGAAAAATACAGAATCTTACAAAAAAGTTGTTTTTTTCCCCTTTTTTTATATCTTTGCCTTTTTGTGTCACTGTAAAATATCAGCTGGTATTCATGACAAGAAATTAAGAATTCCCCCCATGTGTAATAATAAAAAGACAGAATGTGCTTCTGCATTTTTTTTACATTAGTATTCACATATATCATAAGTAAACTGTAAAAGTCTTCTTAGCTCCTTATGGTGCTTTGACGAAAACGCGTGTACAGCATGGGACTGCTCGTGTTCGTCACGTTGTGTGTTGAGCCAACAGTCCCTCATTACACCGAGCCTCTGAACGCCTTTCCATTCCCCACGTGTGCGAATCAACACACTAATGTCAAATGTTCATTGTCTTTATAGGTTATGCCACCAAGGTTCACATTTTATAAAAACAAAATCAGAAAAGTTTTTGTTTTGACAGTTCTTGTTAACTTCAAAAATAATAGCAAAAAGTCATCAACAAGTGAGGATTTCAAGAATACAGCTTACATAAAAAAAAAAAATAAAAAAATAAAAAACGTGAGAACGAGGTTTTGACACATGAAGTATGCGTTTGCCTACTTACCTTTAAAACCCTCATGCGAAAACACACTTTGTAAAAAGGCCACATGGCTTTTCCGTCACTCTTAGATTGCGTGTGTATTCTGATAGATGGGAGGAAGTGGACAAAAGGTACGGTAACCTCTCTTATTAGTGTGAGGACTCTGTAAATATGGATCCCGTTAGAGTTGTGTGTGTGTGTTCAGTACACCAGAGAGCCCCTGCCACTTTGATCTGGTTACTACTTACACAAGAGTGCAAGTTAGTTCGTGCTACGATAACAACCAACAGATATTCAGCATTCTTATGTAATTTGTTTAAGAGTCGTCTTGGTTTTGGCAATGTTTTAAAAAAAGTATATAAAATCAGACTTTCTCTGTTAGAGGACACAAGTGAACAGATGTTTGAATATTTAGGGTAAGCTTTGCTAATGAAAATTGTTAGCA